AGCCCTCGGCCGCCTGCCTCACCCAGCACTGACCTACAGGCATTTTTGCCATGGCTGCCTCAGGCTTTTTATAGTTTTTGCGCACTTGTTGCATATAGGATACCTTACAGGTGCAGGCCTTCGCTGAAGCGTTAGCTAGCTATTTGGGGAGGGCTAGTGTTTTGCTTTTTTCTTTTTTTCTGGACACCTTTTCAAAAGTCAGGGAAAACTTCCTGGATTCAGCCTGATTCTGAGATGCAGCATTTCACCATCGGCTCATCAGAGATTAATTTGAACTGTCTCAAAGTGTGCTCCTCAGATGAGCGGACAGTGCCCGTTCAAAATGGTGAGCAACACTGCTGCATTCATGTGCTGGTAGAGGAGCTCCTCTGCCGGCGCTGTGTGTGGCTCAGGAGCTGTGCCAGTGCTGTGGTGGTGGGGTGTCTTCCTCCCACTCTTGCCCTGCCCAAAATGCCCGAATATGGTTCAAGCCTGATTCTTGCAGACCACGGCTACTGTTTGCAAGGGCAGTGCTTGCCCTTCTACCAACCTGGTAGTGTTGTTCCTGCACTACTGTAATGCAGCAATGGTTTTAAACTGCTGTCCAGTGCATGGTAAAGCTCTTGCCAGGGAATGCTTACTGCTGGGTCAGGGTTGGGGATTTTGGTTTTTTTTTGTTTGTTTCAGGTCGGTCATAAAACTGAATAGCAGCTTCATCCGTGCAATGACTGGCCAAGTAATTCAGCTCCAGCTGTTTCCAGTAGATGTATTTTCTCCCAGCCTTGCCTATTTGCCCTATTGATGTCCCTCCAGGGGACCGTCCTCAGCCTGCACTGCCTCACCTCAGCCTGAGCACATGCTGGGGAGAAACAAAACATCCTGATTGTGAAGGCCAAGCTGATGAGCAAATGACAAAGCAGCAGAAGTTCCCCAGGGAGGGCTGGGGAGAGGTCCTTTGCAGGCAAGGCCAGTTCCCAAAAGATGGTGCCGCAGGCTTTGCTGTGAGACTGTGCTGTGGGACTAGAGCCCTGATGGGCCAGCAGCCTCCAAGAAGGCCTTATAGGTTTAGTCACTTAGGAGTGAGTGTCCCTTTGAGCTAGGTCCTGCAGAGCACAGCTGGGTGTCCCCAGACCAACAAGTGTGGGTGATCCCTTCGCCATTAACCGTTAAGGTTCAGAATGGGTTATGACACTGGTGTGACAACGTGCCTTAAAGCCTTACACCTTTGTAAGCCGCAGGTCCTCATTTTTAGCTATTTATTTTTTTCCAAATTGCAGATCTTGAGCTAGGCTGTATGTTCAATTTGCTTTACGTTCCAGGACAGGTGAAGAAGCTTAGGCCTAGAGTTTAATTAAGGTGACTAAATTGATGTGGTGTGGAATTACACCACATACGCCGTTTCAGAGCTGTGTTAGGAACCATTTCAATGAGTTTTCAACTTCTTCAGACTCTCTTGGAAATAAGTGCGTCCTCATCTGCTTTATTGTGTTTCTAGAAGCTGCTTAGGTACCAACTTGCACCAAAATACTACATTTTGGAGTGTGGATGGAGTATAATTTCTGTACTGAAATACTGAAGAACCTCATGTTGGGCAGTGAGTAATTATTGTCTTAACGAAGGTGTGTGGACTGATCAGGTTTTGCAGGGGAAGGTTCTTAAGGTTGTGTTGAGGAGAAAAGTCACTTCAAGAACTGTGCCTATATCAGATGTACATGTCACCACTGTGCTGGGGAGAGCCGTGGTGGTTGCTGGCTTGGTTAGCAGGGCCTGAGCCAAGCGTGGGGGACCAAGTTTGCCCTGCATGGACATCACGTTGACCCAGATGGGTGGTCCCTGTGTTCAGGTCTCTGTCAATCACTCAAGTGTTTCTCCAGCTGTGTGCACAGTCTGCAGAGGATTTGGGGAGTTGAATGTAGTAGGAGTGGCATGTTTTGTGGGAGGAGGAGGAAGCTTATGGGCAGTGAAATTGGGCTGCAGTAGGAGGACTCTAATTAGGGCCGTTTTGTAGCTCACCGTGAGGTAGGATTTTGACCATGTCACTCAGCCCTGAAAAGGCTCTGGGGTCATAATGCTCCTTGCAAGCAGTAGGCGGTATAAGATGCTTCAGCATCATCCCCAATCCAGATGTCCCCAAGAGTGAAGGTGTCTGTGGGCCAGCTGGGGCTCGTGGGGCCAATCTGCTCATCCCCTCATCCTGGTCCAGGGGTGGGAGGGTTGAGAGGGCAGTGAAAGGTGCATCCAGGTCTGCATGTGAGATCTTGCCCTTATGGCCTGAACCTCCTCTGGGAGAAGGGCCCAGATAATCCATCTGGGTTGACTTGTAGGGCAGATGCCCCACAGAACTGATTTAGTCCATAGGGCTTTTGGAAAATACGTCATCAGGCCTTTCTCATCCTGGTTTTGTTTTGCACGTGTCACCCTGAGCTTTCTGCCTGTCAGTCACCGGGGTTGTCTTGGTGGGACCACAGGGAATGAGGTTGCTCAGCCTGTGCCCATCAAGCCCCCATCCAGTGGCACGTCTGGGTGCCCAGCAGGATTTAGGTGACCAGAGCTCCCTAGGTCCTCCCAAAGCTGTGTGGGGCAGGCAGGCTGGAGAGCTTTTTGTTATTGCTATTATTGTTATTATTGCTACCTTTTTTCCCCGGTTTCTGGCTCTGCAGACCCCCAAATGCTCTTAATGGAGATACAGCCTGTTTGTATGTTAATTTTAAGCCCGCTGACAAGCGGTTTGCTTTTCTCCTGACTTCTCACGGTTCCTTCACCCGTTGAAAGCCGCTGCTGTGGGCTTAGGGGATAAGGTGCTGAGAATTAGAAAATAAAATAAAATCTGCAGGATGCTGGGGAGCGAGGGGGTCTGAGGGTTGGCTTGCTCAAAGTACAAATGAGTGATTTCTGAAAGCAAGTAACCCTGATTCCAGGGGCGTGCATGACAATTACATCCAGTATAATACAAAATGTTAATTACTAAATTTTGAGAAATTAATGCTGATTAGCAGCTGCATGTGTGTGACCTAAATACATCTATTGCTTGATCTTTATTCATAATATACAGTTTATTGTTGATAAAGTAATTGCTGAATGGTGGGCTGGCCCACAGGTCTCGTAGCTAAAGACTGAGGCCTGATTTCTAAATCGTCTGAAATTTGTTGGCATCTGTTTTTTGTTGAATTTATATAGACAGAGAAGATGAATAGCTGTCTGAGCTATCCCCTTTACAACTCAACTCATATATATTATTGAGAATTCATATTGCTCTTATTATTTGGTCACAAAAAATGGACCTAATGCTTGTTGGCTTTAAAACACCTACTAGCGCTGCTTTCTCTCTCCATCTTGCAAAATATAAGACAAGGCCGAAGCTTAAATTAAAATCCTCAGGTTCTTATCTCTTTCCCACAGGAAAGCAAATCTGTGTTGAAAACCGTAAAATTAAGAGGAGAGCAAGGATAGCATAATTTAGCAAAAATTCATGGCACCAGATTCTGAGCTATATGACTGGAGGGATAGGTCAGACATTAAGAAGATACTGCCTGCTAATGCAAGTTCCTTAAGGTGGTGCTCTGGAAACAAGGCAAGCAGAAAATGCTGCATTGGTTCCTATTTGCTCCCTTTCCTCTACTCCTGACAGCCTTAACAATATATTGAGTTGTCCATTTAATAACCCTTCTGCTTCTGGAAGTCCAAAGAAATCCAGGTTTTGTACTTGGGAGTATTGTCCTAACATCTGTTTGTGTCAGGATTTCAATAGTGAGCTCAAAGAAAATTAATTTCATTGGGCTTTTAAATGATTTTTTTTCTTTTCTTAATTCCTGGTATTTGACAGGCTGTCATTGCTGAGTTTTTATCAGTGTTTCTTTCTGAAGGACTACTGGGGGCTTTTTTGTCTTTTTAAAAAAATAATTTTAATAAAAACTTGTTTGGGACATCATTATTTTTGCTAAAGGGCAGGGTACAGAGTGGCAGAGTGCACACTGACATCATCACTGTCACTTTGCACCATGGGAAGAGCAACTTGTGTTTCAAGCAGCATAATATGGCAGCATTTTATCAGGACAGACAAGTCCTGTTGGCTTGCAGCTTTAATCCAAGAGCATGATTTTGGGTGACATTCCTCCATCATGCCAGTTGCCCTCTCTCTTGCACCTCTGCAGGAAGGGCTGATGGGAAGCGTGCGTCTCGGCCTGCATGGACATTGCCTTACGGCACCCATTTTGGGACCCTCTGGGGTATTTGTAGCACTTTGATTTCTCCTTGGCATGATACGGCGAGAGGCCTCCCAGCTGTCCGCGGGCAGTCAGTAGGTCTCCTCCCTGACTGACCCCTCTGAGAGGCCGCTGCCAACTGCTTATATATGAAATTAAGCTTTTTTTTTGGGGGGGGGGTGAAGGGGGAGGGTCAGTTATCTGCTACCTAGACCAGGAGATTTCAAGTGGGGTTTTTAAAGTTCCCAGGGGAAAAGCCAACTGTACCCTCTGGCAACGGCGGGGACTTGTCCTCACTGTGCTGTGCTGTGGTCAGTGCAGGAGAGCGATGAAGTGAAGTCAATGATGCTCGTGTTGCTTTTAAGGCTGGAGATGCGGCAAACCTGCACTTTAAATCTTTTTTTTACGCTGATCCTGTAACCGAAGGGCTTCTTCAGTGCTGCTGGCTCTGCTGTCTTCTGGTTGCGGTCCTTGGTGTGTGGTGCCTGCGTGACTCGTATGGTGCTCCTCCTGCCCTGCGGCTCTCCAGCCACTGCTTCCCAGCCCCGTCTCCACATCTCCCAAATGCATTTCCTCCTGCTCCTGGTCCCACCCATTTACCTGCATTTTCTCAACACCTGCATCCCTTCTCAGATGCTGGTTCTGGCAGCAAACCTGGTTGCCACCCACCAGCACCAATGTCATGTCTGTCCATCCATTCCCTCTGCTTCAGTAATACAAATATGTAAAAACTGCATTTTGGAAGTGTGTGGTTTTTTTTTAAAATGCAGAAACCCCACCTCACTAACACTATTTAATTTATTTTTTTTTCTCTTGCAGTCAAACAAGGTGCCAGTGGTACAGCCTTCTCATGCGGTTCACCCCCTCACCCCTCTTATCACCTACAGTGATGAGCACTTTTCCCCGGGGTCACACCCGTCTCACATCCCCTCCGACGTCAGCTCGAAACAAGGTGAGCCCATCCTGTCCCGGCCAGGATGCAGAGCAGTCCTGGTGCCCCCTACGTTACTGATACGGCTTTATTATTGGTATTTTAGAGGGAAGGTTCCAGGTGTGCATACCTGCTTTCAGAGATGATAATTCTGCCGTGGTGCTGATATTTAAGTTGGCTGTTTAAATCTTTGTGCACTTTCTAATGCGATAATTTGGGCTTGCTTTACTCGTCAAAATCTTTTAAAATCTTACTAAGCAGCAGTCAGCTCTCACCACCCCCTGTTGTGCCCGAGGCTTGCAGCGTACAGATGTGGAAACAGGAATCATCCCTCCTTACCTTCCCAAAACCAGGAGAAGAGTGCTCCAGTAGTGGTGTTATTGAAACGTTTTCTTTCTCCCTTTTACTCAAAATTGTATTTTATGTCCTTGTATTCTGGCTCTCCAAATTCTTCCATATATCAGTTGGTATAAATAGGACTGGTCCCCTAGGAGTCCTCAAAACAAACCAAAAAAGCCCTTCAGACCAGCCTCGCTCTGGATCAGTCCTTGGCCTCTGAGGCCCCCACCCCTCACCAAGAGCTCCTGCCCGGCTTCCTGATGAACCCAGGGCCTTCCTGGAGAGGATGCCCTTGCTTGCATTGGGTGAAGAAGCTGAGGGGAACATGGTGGTTGTTGAGAAGGTGCAAGGGAGGACTGACCCAGACGGCATGGGTCTGGGTAGGGAGCCTGAGGAGGAGAAGCCTGAGTGAGAGAGGTGGCAGTGAGGAGGGAAGGAGAGGGAGCAGGGAGTGTTGGCTTTATTCGAGGTATCTGCGCGTGGGTGTGAAGTCTGATGGTGCCAGAGCTGAGGGTGTCCTGGGGGTTGCCCCTCCCTGCCCACTTCTGCACACACATCTCCCACCATGTGTTGCTATACCTCGTTGATGTGAAGCTGCTTCACTTAGGCACCTGTCAATATGTGCAGTTGTCCCATTTATCTGGAATGGGGTCTAGCCACCATCATCCAGGGTGAGATTTTTTTAACTGCTGACTTTCCCTGACTGCTTAGGTTTTATTTTGGCCTTGCTACACCAATAATAAGGTGGGCTGCATCCAGAAAATATGGTAGCCTTGTGGCTCTGTGTGGTTTTTGTTGTTTGTGGGTAGTTGGTTGGGTTTTCTTTAGGGAGCAGGAATACAAAAAGCACTCTACCTGGAAATCCTGGCCTCTAAATACACATATAATATTTATTTTTCAGAGTTGGAAGAAGCAAATGGAGACCTCCTGTCCTCATTTGTCTTCCTCCATCACTGCCCAGGAGAAGGATATTCACGCTCATTCCTTCAAATCCCATGGGTACTGTGTGTTAGAGTACGGGATTTCCACCTCTTGCCCAAGCTGCTGCGATGACTGGGGCACACCCCAGTGCTGCAGTTCGTGAGCTCAAGAGGTTTTCTCTTACTGTGTGATGGGTTTTCCCTCCTGCACCCCAGTTGTTTGCCTGTATCCCTGGTTTATTTTTGTACTCCTTTCCTGCAGACCCAAACTGAACAACATCTGGTTTCTTGTTTCTGCTGCCTGTCCTCCTTTCTGCCTCATCTTGTCCTCTCCCTTCTCCACCTTGGTGCATCCCATTGCTCAGGTCCCTGTCCCCGAGGTGAGGAGCTGTGCTGGGTGGCAGCCAGGGGCGTCTCTGTCGCAGAACTCGTGCCGCTCTGGAGTTCCCGAACAGGCTCTCGGTCCCTTCGCACAGCATCTGGCAGAGATGGGGATGGATAATGCAGACTGGAGGGCTCTGGGTTTGGCTGTGATTGTCTCCTTGATGTGTGTGGTCTTTCCATACTCCCCATTTTGTCGCCTCTGGCGTGTGGGAGCAGCTCCAGTGAAGTGGCCCATGCAGTTGCTGCAAAGAGAGGATTTTTTTTCCCCTCAGGTCCTGTGCCAAACGCCTCCGACCATTGTTTCTGTCCTGGCCTCCCACTGTGGGTCTGGAGCGAGGCGCTGCCCCAGCCCCAGTGCCGCGGTATGCTCCTCCCTCCTAAATCCCCTAGCGGGAAGGCAGCAGGGAGCCCAGAGCGGCTTGCCTGCAGGGCTGCCTCTCGCACCCCAGGCATGTCATGATGGATGCACAGACACCGCCTTGCTGGGGGCAGTCACTTCTTTCTTCCCTTTTATTTTATTTTTTTTCCTTAACCTTCCCATGAGCAAAAGCTTGCTTTGGACAGTGCTGGCTGTACAGTAGCTGCACGTGTTCTTGCTGAGCATTAGGTAGCTGGATGCCCCCATAGGGGACCAGAAGTTTTGGACTAGTGATAACCACTGTGTTGGTGCGGAGAAAGCAGCAGCATCTCGGTGGGTCACAGATGCAGGTTTTAGGGAAGGAGCAGCCCAGCTCCTTGCACAGAACTTGGTCTGGCGGAGGCAAGGTTGTGTCATCACTCCCAGGAGCATCAGCTGTCACCAGAGATCAGAAGGATGGGAGACTGGGCTTGTTTTCACCTGTTTTTTTTTCCTTAACTGAGCCTTCCCTCTCACGTAAAAACCCTGGGGTATATAAAGCATTCCCTTTCCTGTCAGCCACCAGCTGGTTTTCACCTCTGAGAAGACAACTGGCCAGAAATTTGATCCTCATTCAGGTTGTGGTCCCGAGTTTGAGAATTTAGCTTTTTTGAGACACCAGAACAGAGGTAGCAGTAACACCATCAGTGTTGTTTTTCATCCTTTCCTGTGCACAGTCCTGAAAGATATTCTTCAAATCTTATAATTAAATTCAGAAGATTTAAATACAAACTAGGGGAGGAAAATAAATCAGTAGCATCAATCCATAAACCAAGTCTCAGGGTACCACACACTCCATCTTGGACCTTTGGAGTGTCACAACATAAATATTTAATGCCCTTTTAAAGCAGCTGATTTAACATGTGAAGTAGACTTAACAATTCCTTCTGCTTCAGCCCCCTCCTCCCCAAACACATTTAAATAAACCGATGTCTTTGTGGCCTCTGCAACTGTAATTCCGTATCTCCTGGGGGCATGAGGTTTAGGTGAAGAATGTAGACCATGGGCCCTTCTGGGACGAGGATTAGCTTTAATCTTGAGGTGATTCTTGCAGTTGTAGGGCTCTGTGTTCTGGGGAATGTGAGCTGATGGATCATTTCTGATGGGACTCTTATTTTTCCATGAAATACTACCAATGCAAAACAGATTGACCTTGGAGCCCACAGGAGTCAACTTGATGAAGAGCTTAGTTGGAGCTGGAGTGACAATTGGAAGCCAAATGAATCATATCAAGTGTGACCATTACAGGCCTGAAAATGATTCTTAATTAACCACTGATCCTCTGTGGTAGCAAGTTTCCAAAATCTGTGAATCCATAAGGGAACCTGCGAAAATGTACAAGTAGCAATTTACCTAATCTAATAGCTCTGCTGTGCTGCCTCTTTGACAATGCTTTATTTTGCTCTTGTTTCATGCTGTGTTAGAAGAGGTCCTTGGGATCTGATCAGGTTTGGTGAAACCACTGGGAGGACATTGTCACCTAACGCACTTGACAGGAGAGCTAACCTCACCCATACATTTATTCTCTCCTTCCACTTTGTTTTTTTAGTATTTCCCTTTGAATTGCAATATCCTGTGCAAGTTATTTATTACTTTAAAGGTGGCATGGGTAGCCTTTTGCTTTTAACGCTGACGAAGAAGGTGGTTGTTTCTTACCCAGAGCACTAATTCCGTCATAGCCTCGGCCGTGTTAGCTGTGAACTGTAGCTCATGCGTAGTACTTTGAGGCGAAAGTCATTAATTCTTCTGTGCTCTTTAACAGGCATGTCCAGGCATCCTCCAGCTCCTGATCTCCCTACCTTCTATCCCTTGTCTCCAGGGGGGGTTGGACAGATAACACCACCTCTTGGCTGGTAAGATCTTTTAGATTCTTTTCAGACAAAGGTGCACGCTCACATAATTTGCTGTTGTTTCATTAATCGCAGCATTTACAAAATAGGAATGTCGCTGCAGTGAGAAATTACTGCGTTATCATCAAAAAAGTCAATCTTTGAAATGAAGTGAATGGTTTTTGAACACATGCAGAAATTGAAGTGTGCAGATTTCACTTTGAAGTCTATATATTTCTTATGGCTCAGATTTGTGGCTCTTGGCATTTGGAAAGATAGCAAAAAAACAGTTCTCGAGGAATTAAATGTAAATTTTTAATAAACAAAATTGCAATTACTGAGAGGAGAGGAGGTAAGAAGGAACTTTGAAGTGTGTGTGTGGGGGAAATCTTGAAACTGCACCAAAATGGAGAACAAAACTTGTGTAGTCTGCTGCTTTGTACAGTTTCTGTATGGAGAGAAGCCTCTGTCATTGGCAGATTTTGCCGCTCTTGCTAATAGTAGCCCTCTCAGGATCTCTCTGCCATTCAGGGCATCATTTTCCTTTTGGAGGAAACACGTGGTATTTTCAGCGTAACCAATTTGGCAGGATGCTTCATGTCTGCTGGGGGTAGATAGGTACTCATAGGTACCCTCCTCAGTTCTGTCAGAGCAAGGAATAAGGAAACTCAGCAACCGTTTCAGTGCTTTAGAATCTGTACCTTGACCAGTCTGTGCCCACACAGTGAGTGATGCAGATTTTTATTTTTATTTTCAAATGTGTCTATGGGAGGCAAACATGATTCAGATGACAACAGACAGAAAAAGCAGGGAGCAGAAGATGGTGAAACACTGTATTGCTGGCAAATTTGTCAAGAAGTGCCACATGCCTTTTTGGAACAAATTACTATCAGATACCAAACTAAAATATGGAAGTATCTGACTATAGTTTTTTTTATAATTCCCCCTGCCGCCATCCCCATTTGTTGATGCTCCCCACCTCCACCACCACCAGGCAGTTCCTGGCATTCGTTTTCCAGATGTGGTCGGTCTGTTCTGAGTGGTTTCTTGATGCAGAGGCTGGGGGGAGGGAAGAGGGAAAAGAGAAAGGAGAGGAGAGACAAGACCTGATCTCATAGGGCTCAGGGATGTGCTCGGCAGAGCTCACTGACAGCAGGACGGATCCAGCCGTCCCTTACACAATGCGGCTTCCAGCTGCTTTTGGTGCGGTAGTGCTGGTGAGACTTTTTTTTTCCCCTTCCCTTTGATCACTGCTCATTTCCAGTAACGTACTCCAAGTGGGAAACTTGTATCGTGAACCTTACAAAGACCAATATCCCTTTTTTTCCCCTCTGAAATGCTGATCTGCCAGTCAATAAGGAACTGTTTGGATAGGATTGATATGTGCGGTGGTCCTTCTGGGCTGATTCAGGAATTTGGGCTGAACTGGTGTTGGTTTGCATCACCATAGCATGCTACTTCAGGGTGTTAATTGTAGTCACCACCTGAACGGTTTCTCACTAAGAGTAAACAAAATGTAGGGAGAGTCCAAATGATAGGCTGCTGGCAACATATTCCGTATATGTGGGAGTATAAAGGAGGTAAGAATTTCATGCAAGCTTCTTTTACTGGACTGCAAAGTTTGAACTTTAAGTAGTTAAGATGGACTTGTGTTGCTGTGGGCTTTTACGTGGTTGTGGTTGTTTTTATTAAATAAACTTCTACTTTCCTAAAAAAGCTGGCCACTTCTACCTCACTATAGAAGATGCACATAGATTCTTCAAAAACTTAAAACCGTTCAGAAGGTATTCTAGCTTAATAATTCACAGTCTGGTGTTCTTACGCTGGTCTACAGCAGAATTATTTGGAATAAGATGCCTCTTTCCTAAGAGCTAGTTAACCAGCTCTGATTCCAGTGTGTTTAAAAGTAGGTGAGAGGGGTAGAGGTAGAGGAGTGTGCGTGTGTGTGTGTGTGTGTGTGCGTGCACATGTGCTCTGGGGGAGGAAGGCTGGTTGGTTTGCTGTACTCCCCAGTGGAAACCTAGATGGGGAATCTTTCAGTAGCAAGGGAGAAAGTCCAAAGCATTCAAGTATTTGTTAGCTGTGAATACAGCAGAACTCTTGAAAGTTTTGCCTATTACTATTTATATGTGACTAGTACCGAGTTCCCATCAAGTGCTTGTAACTCTAGAGTAACTATTGAATACCGTATCGTATGATTGATGGGTTCCTTTCTTCTGTGACCTCAGGCAAGGTCAGCCTGTATATCCCATCTCGAGTGGATTCAGGCAGCCCTATCCATCCTCACTCTCAGTCGACCCTTCCATGTCCAGGTAGGTGTAGGAGGTGAATGACTGACTGGGGAGTAGCTGCTGGCATTAGAGGGCAGGTTGCTCTTCTGCTTGCATCTTGGTCTGCCTCTGCTTGCTTTTCAGTCAGCTAAAACTTTATGCATACATTTTTATTTAACTTATTTGTGTATATACAGTTTGCCTGGATCCCACACTGGTCTCATTCAGCATTTTCTTGGCGGTCTCTGAAGTATTGCAATTAGGAGCACAGGTGAATTGTCAACAATTAATTGAGCTGTTTCATCTGAAATGAGTCAGTTAGTTCATTTCTAGATGCAATATATACTGTGCATCCTTGGGTTCTGCTCACACAAATATGCAGCCGGGTGGATCATCACTGTAGTCTGCGTTCTCTAGTCCTAATTTTGAAGTTGTTGGTAATTAGTCTTGAATCATTCAGGTATCACTCCATGTGGAAACTTGCTCACAAGTAGGTTTTTTGTAGCCTAAAGCCACTAATGGCAAGGGATGCCAGCACACAGTGTATTTGTACTGGTGTGTGAATCAGGCACTGTGTCTTTATGTCTAAGTGCAGGCAAGCAATGCTGATTGAGACTTGGCCATGACACACTGCAGACCTCCTCTCCTCTGCTTTTGCACTCTAAAGACAGCTTCTGCATCCTGTGCTTGGTGTACACAAGGTTGCAGTATATCATTCTTGGGGTGTTTTTGTGTGACCTGTAGAAGACACATCCTCTTGCATGGGGATTTAAGACAGGCTACTTGATAAGTGGTGGGTTCTCTCGCCTCTGTTTGTGTGGGCTCCTTTGGATTATCACTGTCCCTTCACTTCTTTACAGGGTAATGATAAGCATGTGCCTGTCAGGGTGACTGGGAGGAAAACCCATTCTTTCTCCATAATAAAATTATTTGGTTCGCTTTATTTTGATGGCATGAAGGAAAAGAGCAAGGGGACTAGGGAATGGATAAAGGAGAGGATGGGTGCCATTCCTTAACCAGCACTCATTCAGCAAACCTTTGGAGCATGACCTTGCTTTTGATGTTAATGGTACTTTCCACCAGTTCAAAATAAAGCATGCAGGTTTTCTGCTGCGCTTGAACTTGCAATGCTCAGCACCTTCACGATGCATCTCAGCTATCCCTGAGGATGACCTGGGTTAGTAGGGCGGGACGATGGAGTTAGTGGTACTTTGGTTTTCTTTTCAATTTTCCTTCTTGTATAAGTGAAAGGAAGGTTTATTTAGGACAAAAGTCTCTCCCTCTCTCCACCTCCCACCCCACCCCCAATACAGGATTTCAAAAATTTAATTTTATTTTAAGCATTTGAGGGAAGGATAGTGACTTCAGGTGAAGTGATGTCAAATTCTTCTACCTTGAAAAATGAGATATTCCTTAGCCCTCAAGGACTTCCTGAAAAGACTACTCTTCTTTTATTTTATTTGTTTCTGCATGGCAGTTCCCTCCTTTGCATTGGCTGGTGGTGGATATTTTAAGAATGTTTATATCTTGGTGTGGAAATACATTTTTTTGGTTAAGAAATGTGTATTTTTATTGCTGGTCAGCGCAACAGTACAACCATTAAATGTTTCTTATGTGCATTGCAAAAACTGCCTGAAAGGTAATAAAATAACTTCTTTACAACCAAGATGTTTACTGATTTGTTTGTTTGCTTTTCTTCAATAAGTGGGCTACAGTGCACAAATCTTAGCCAAATATTTTTCATGCACTCTTACAGAATTGTCTTCCATTGCAAGCTCTGTAGTGTTTGCATTCTTGGGGCGTTCTGCTGCTGTCACACGTGGTTGACACCTGTCTGCAGTAGGGTTACAGACCTGCCTTTGTTTTCTCTTTTAGGTTTTCACATCACATGATCCCTGGTCCTCCAGGCCCTCACACAACTGGAATCCCTCACCCAGCTATCGTAACACCTCAAGTAAAACAAGAACATCCGCACAACGACAGTGAGCTAATGCATGTGTGAGTCTGCCTTTCTGCACTAGCCCTTGATCTATAAATTTTTGAGAATCAACTCTTCCTGAAGAAGAGTAGAGGTTAAAAATAATTCCTTTAATGACCTCCTTGAATTTTAACTCTGCTCATGTAACTAAAATGGGAGATGTGGGCTACTGTTTGAGAAGAGTAAGGAGACATGAAGCTGTTTTTCATTTCAGTCCAGCACTTTTTAGCTATCAGCAACAGTCATCTTGATACAGACTTAATCATGGACCTGTCCACCTGTGGATCTTGCTTGAGTGTGAACTCACAAGCTTCTGCTGTAGAAGGTCTTAACTGCAAAATCTACTAGTAAAAAGCAGACCTTTTTGTTTAGTAGTTGAAGGGAAAAAGCCTAAGAAAGAAGTGAGTGAGAAGCCATCCTGCCTGTAGCAGTGGTCTTCCAGGGTACTACAGAAAGCTATTCAAAAAGAGAATTGAGACAAGTGATGCATTTGGAGCACATTCACAGATCAAATATTATTTGCTGGAGAATGTCAACCTGACATCCTCCCTGAGTATTAAATTAAGTCAGGTCTCTGAAAAGGTATGAAAGTGGATGGGACATGACCACTGAAATTCTCATTCTTGCTGCTTAAATGCTGCTCTGACCACAGGTTGGTAATTTTCCATTGAGTTTTTTTAGGCTGAAGGTAAATGGATGTTTTTTTTTTTGCTCTCCTTTCCCTTTCCCCCACCACGTTTTAGGAAGCCTCAGCATGAACAGAGAAAAGAACAGGAGCCAAAAAGACCTCATATTAAGAAACCTCTGAATGCTTTCATGTTGTACATGAAAGAAATGAGAGCGAACGTTGTAGCAGAGTGTACTCTGAAAGAAAGTGCAGCTATCAACCAGATTCTTGGCAGAAGGGTACGTACAGGAGGGTGTGTGTGTACTCACGTGTGCTGCTAATTTGTGTGTGTTTCCCTTTAGTTGGGTGTGATCGCTCACTTTCTGCTCGAGGTGCTAACTAATGTGCAACTATCAAATTAGCTATAGAAGATAAAACATGCAGCTAAAAATAAAAGCAGTATCTTGATTTTCTTTTTTCAGCATTAGCATCCTCAAATTGGTGTCTCTTCCACTCATATCACGGTGTTAGCACCTCAGGCATGAAATATCCTCATTCACACATGCAAGGAGCGTTCAGGTCACCTTCTGGGTCTTTCCTGAGGCTGATGTCCATCAGAGCAAGAGGGGAATCATTCAAATAGGAGCACTGGATGCCAATGGAGATGGAACTTGAAAGTGAATATAACGTGGTCCAATTGTAAAGTCGTGTAGGTTGGGAGGGACCTGTGGACGTCATTTAGTCCAACACCTGCTCAAAGCAGGTCCAGTTACATCAGGTTGCTTGACTTGTCCTGTCAAGTTTTGAATGTCTCTGAAGTCACCAGCCAAGAACTGATGATCCCAGTACACATCCCAGAGCCTTGCTGAGAGCCATCTGCTTCTGTGGCATTGTAGGCATGTTTTGTTCTTTCCATGCTCCAAAAAAAAAACCTATGCAGGCCAGCCCACAATTACATGTTCACTGTTGGTGGTGGTCTTCCAAGGGAAAGCGGCAGGGGTAAATGCGCATTTTGCTCGACTCTTGGTACTCGTCCCCATTCCTGCCTACTCTCTGATGTGCTTGTTACTTCCCTTTAAAGGACATCTTGGTGCTTGTCTTTTCTATTCTTCCATGCAAGTCTCTTTAATCATGTTTTCATTCTCACTTTCAGTAATCAATCTTAGGTGTCAGCCTCATTTTCTTGGCCTGAATGAGGGCAGTGGCTTATTTATCTCCATGGTGGTAATGAATCAAGCTTCAGTGCTCCATTGCCTGCTTTTTCCACAGCTTGGACTCCACTTTTCAGGTTACTATTCTCCATGAATGTACCTGAAATTCCACTTTTAATGTGTTGTACAACCAACACATGTGTTATCAAATGTGTAATTCCTTGGAGATTAATTATTCTTGAATGTTTTGTGTTCGGTCATCCTGGTTACTATTATACCCTGTGCCACTCCTGAACAGAAACCACCTCTGTTCTCAAGAGCTGCTGCTTTGTGTGATTCTGGGCTCTGATGCCACGGCATAATGTTCACTGCCCTCCAGTTTTGGATCGCACGTGTGGAGTTTGAGTGTTGCAAACAGACTGCACTGCTGTGCTCTCAGTAACACATTGAACTTGCCAAGTCAAGACAGACAAGTCCTTTAGTTCACATCTTCTGACATGTAACAAAATGACGCATTAAATCATACAAATGTGATCTGATCTGAAATCCTAGTTCTGTAAATTATTCTTGCATGAGTGTCTTAATAATTTTATGCCTGTCTTTTTACTGTTTTGTGGGGTTTTTTTATATCTTCTCCCCTCATCCAGCCATGCATGTTGTAAAAGTCAAACGAGAATACACATCTAATGCTGCAGCAGTGAAACCCAATTTCAAATAAAAGGCCTTTGCTCGTTCTGGTTCAGGTTTATGATAGGTGTTTCAACAAGAAAAAAATTAGATACTGGTGTAGCTGGTGCCTTTTCAAATGTGCAGGTTGTGAGAGGTGTTTTGTTTGTATATTGTTTAAAGTACATGAAAGCAGGAAGTTTATCCCTACTTGGCTACAGAGGTCAACTCATGTAATTTGGAAAACTGCAGTTCTGTAGTTTCTGTATCTCAGAAACTTTTTGCAGTTGCCATTTTCTTTTCTTCTTTTACAACAAGAAGAAATCAGAAAGCAGGTACCTTGAAGTTTGGTGCTTAGCAGTTGATCTTGGAACAGAAGCCTGCTGGTGCCCAGAAAAGCCTCTGCATTGGCATTGAAAACCCATCTGTAGCTGCTGCTTGAAAACAAGACAGCAAACCCTTCTGTGGTGGGGAGCTTGCTGCCCTTTAAAAGCAGCACAAAACCTTTCTGTTTTGTCAGGAGCTAAAGGGTGCTTTTGGGTTGTTTGGGTTTTGGGGGGTTCTTTTTGCCTTTAAAGTAGTGTTGGGAGAGCGTGGTTCTGTGAGCAGATTATTTGGTGAGCCCTGTTTCCATAAATGATTTTTGTCTTGCTCCAGGCACTTGGCAATTGTGGAGCTGACAAATTCCTGAAAGTTGGTTAACAAACACGGGTGCTTGTAATTGCTAATGAATTTCACTTTTGCAGTGGGGAGGGACTGAATCAAAGTCGCAAAAACCCTTGCTCATGTCATCCTTTGCCTAGGTATGAGTTATTTCCTAGTCTTAATGCTATGTTTATTTTGTTTGCAGTGGCATGCTCTCTCCCGTGAAGAACAAGCGAAATATTATGAACTAGCTCGTAAAGAAAGGCAGCTACACATGCAGCTTTATCCAGGCTGGTCTGCAAGAGACAACTATGTAAGTTACTCGCTTGAAGGCTCTTTTCAAATTAACTTCCTTTACCTAACATTTTTTTTCTTTCTTCTTTTTCTCTTAAACTTATGGAAAGTCCTGGATGGAGGGATGGTGAACAAACATATAACATAAGCTTCACATTTGCTTGCATTTCAAGCATCCAGAAAAAAAAGAGATTTTGTTGTTGTTGTTGAGATGCTTCTTATGAAGGTCAAAGTTTTTGAGGGGAAAAAGCATGGAAAGTTTTTTTTAAAGTAGTTGTCAGTACTGTCTGAAAGCTTATGTTCTGCTGTGTAGCTGTGACTTTTCCATAATTTTCTGTTTGATCACTTGCTACCCATAAATCATCTTTAGACCTGAGCAAAAAAGGGATGTCTCTCTTTCAAGAGAACCAAAAGCACAGGGATCTTAATGCAAACTGAACTTTAGGTGAAAGTAATTTAGAATGCTCTAATAATAAAAATAAAACCTGAAAAAATTGTATAGGCAAAACTTCATGATAGATTCTGCTTTTATACTGTTTGATGAAGCTAAGAAGTTTTCTTACAATTCTTTTATAATTAAGTATCAAACAGACGTTAATAGCATGTTGCACAGCTTGCACTGCACAGTTATACCATTGAGCTTACAATGAGCTGGCAGCATAGTCAAATGTTACGTTACGAAATGCGCAAGCTGCAATCCTGAGAGACTGATCCCAGCCTGAGTTCTGGGCTCCTTCGCATCCCCACATCAGCTGTGACATTATTTACTGTGATAGGAAGCGTACATGCTGTATCCAGCTGTTTGCCATCTGTATTAGGTGGACGGTAGTATTTCTCTACTTCAGGGGTGTCTTCTGGACCTTAAAGAGCATGAGGCACATAAATACAGTGTTAACAGAAACTGTAGAAGTACCCAACTCTTCCAACCCGGGACAGCTACTGCTCAGCTCAGAAAAAATTTTCATTGTAAGCTGGAGTCTCTTTGGCATAGAAGGCATTGACACAGAAACTGCATGATCATCTCCAAAGCAAATGTCTTGATCTTGCTGATATCCGTGCCCAGTTTTGTAAGCACGGACACTACTGTAAGCCCTACCAACTTGTTTCTGCCTGTTTAATACAGTCATCTTTCCTAGCAGATGAGCTGTCATGACATTACGCAGGTAGGGTATATTTCCAGTATGTCAGACCATGTCAAATATACCTGGGAACAAATAGAGCCTTAGTGATGTACTCTCTGAAAACAAAGGCGTTTCAATTGTCTTGAACTCACTTGCTGGAAAATCAAAACACTTCTGAGCCTTGCCAGCTCATGCTTGCTGGACACCAGCCTTCAAGATGGTCCTGGGATACTCAGTAAAGTTGACTTGGAGAACGTGATGGGTTTTCCCACAGCCTTCTACCATACAGGCCAAGCAGTGGACCTGCAGTCATCTTCCCTCCCCCCTTAATTTTTTCTAACTTGAACAGTGAAAAAATGAAATTGTATTCATTTAGCACAGATATTACTGCACTATTTTGAGAGCTGGAAGTGACTTAGGGATCACTTCCATTTCACATGACAGAACAGTACAATTAAAAAAGGTGAACTCCTTGGTTTTAATTCTTTTATTTTGATTTACCTGGTTATTCGGGATTTCCAAAATTTCAAGAAAATGTTAAGCATTGCTAGTCAACTTTTGACAGTAGCTGTGTGCTTTTTATTATGGTTTTATCACTGACACCCAAAGTAGTCCTGCAGGGTTGCATGGTAGTCAAGAGAAGCACAGTGTTTTCATAATGTGGTAGTGTCTGTGTGTGCTGGAGTTGTCAGAAACTTCCTCATTTGGGAATGCTGGCAAGTAATTTTCAGCCTTTTAATTCTGTTTCTCCACTTCTGGTACCTGATAGATGGATCTCAGATCAGCTTTCAGTATGATTTAGCACTTGAAGTCAGCCTGCTGTAGAGAATGAAACGTAATTTTCCTCGCATGATTTTTCCATGTTAACATCTGCACTAATGCACTTTCTTCTGTAAAGCAACATTGCCTTGGTGCCTAAGCAATAAAGCACATCACTGTGACTTCCCCCAAGACCTTGAAATCTGCTTTCCAACTTCTAGCATTGATCTCGTATTTGGGAGCTCACTCACAAGGCATTGCTCAGCCCTGTTGCCAGCCTTAGGATAAATAAGGACAGGAGCTCAAGAGCCAGGTAGGCCCAGACTGTCAGAGCAGACTGGGAACTACTTAAATTCATCTACTATAGGTTCATTGTAGCCTGTGTTTGGGGCCCTCAAGTGAGCACTGCGGTGGTCTGAGGTGGTTTCTCCCATCACCTGCTGTCTGTCCCATCACCTTGCAGACCTGGCTAATGGAAAGACGTGTCCCTCCACCTCTGCCCTTCCAGTTTGTGGCCACTGTGGCATGGCCTATGTCAGGACATGCGTTGATGGCTGCCAGCTGTGCTGAGTGGGGCAACCTCTGACTGGGGGGGAGAAGGGTTGGTAGCAGGCTGCAGTCCTGCTGCCAGCAACTGCACCAAGGCTCACCAGAGCTCATCTGTTAGAGCCTGTCCTGGCAGCTTGAAGGCTTCTTTAAAATTTAAGTAGATAGGACTTTTTTTAACTAAACAAACAAAAAAAAGCTTTGACTGACAATACAGGACAATAAAGAGAAGTCATATGGAGGAATATCAAAGTGGTAATTAGAGTGAAGTGAGATGATTGCAGTTTAAAATTGTGGGTCTAGACTGACCTTTTGTTTCCTAAAAGACTGTGCAAACCGGGAGCTCTGGCCTTTTCCACAGCTGAGGGGGCGGGAGAAGGCTGAGGGAGTGGGTTGGCACGATGAGCTTGTGCCGGCACGCTGGTGCCAGTGCGACGACCAAGAAGGACACCTGCCTGACGTCCAGTTCTGTCCTGCACCTCGGTCACGCTAAGGGTGCTTCGCTGTACAGCAGTCTGCAGTTTGCTTATTGCACAGCACATTGGAGACTTGGCTTTTGTTAAGGTATGAGCGCTATCTGAACATTTTAGTCGGCTGGTTTGCACCCTGGGGACAACTCACAGTCGTCCTAGGTACTTTCAGCACCCTGTCTGCTTTCACCATGTATGGCAGTGTAAGTATCTGAATGTGTGAAGAGCTCTTGTAAGAGCCACAAATTATGATATCAACATAAGCGTCATCAGATTATTAAGCATGAGAAGTCTTTTAGGTGCTTGCGGCTGCCAGCATTAGCTGAAAACCTGCCAGAAATTGTAATTCCATGTAGATATAAAACTGTATTGCTCATGTGCCTATTGCTCCATAGATGCTGAGAGCAAAGCTTGTTACCATTGAAACAGTTGGAAAGTGAGTTAGAAAAGGTTTTAACTACCCTGAAAACAATTGTGTTTTTCCTACTGCTTTCTCAGTGTCCAGATGACTTTTGTTTCTGTGCTGGGAGGTGTGGGAGCAACAGAAAGGTTCTGTGTGTAATGGTAAAATTGCCTATTTTTCAGGGGAAGAAAAAGAAGAGGAAGAGAGAAAAGTTGCAGGAATCAGCATCAGGTAGGCCATGACCAACTCCTACTTACCATTCACCTCAGGTATATTTTAGAAACCAGGGCTTGTGCTATTTAATTTTTACACGCTTTTCTCTAACACTTGCTTCTGATGGGTATTTTAAGATATTTCACTGTGAATGCAAGCTTGTGAAAATGCACACAGTACGTCTCCTTTCCCTTACGCCTTTCCATGCAGCAGTCCTGACTGCATCATCTTTGGCTGAACTTATACATTGCTGCAATCACTGTCCTGCTTTACCTTTGCTTTTCTCTTCCATCAATGTTGTATCGTCTTTAGACTTAACTATGACTCAAATACTGTGTAGGATTATTGGATGCTAGAAACTTTACACTGACCTTTTTGTAGCCACTGTAGTTCTTTATTGCTGTATTTTACATTTCTGTGTACACTAACAGCTGCCTAGTAGGTTGGCTAAAAGCATCAGTGAGGTCTCCTTTTTGCCTGTAAAATACATACAGAAAAACACCCTGTTTTCCCCACCAAACATGGCTGGTATAAGAACCATAAAAAACCCAAACAACAAAACAAAAACCACACCAAAAAAATCCATGTAATGCTGTAGCAAACAAACTTATTTGGAATGTGCAAAAACTCTGTAACAGAAATTTGTTAAAGGAAAACAATCTTCTACAGGTACAGGCCCCAGAATGACAGCTGCCTACATCTGAAGCATGGTAAGAACATCTCTAAAGCTTTCCTGATGATAAAACGGAGTTGTAAAATAAACTTTCTTATAAACTTTATGCAATAATATGAATTTAGCAAAAATTGCAGAAGTATCACATCCCAAAGCTGATATTACTTTGACTACTGATGGTTTTTATACCGGCTATCTATCTATTAGGTGTTCACCATTTCACTTCTTAACCTTAACATTTTCAAATTGACCATACCTCACTGACTCGCTGGAAGTCTGCCTGTGAAGCACAGGGATGGGTTTATTAAGCAATGCAAACTCTCCCAGCCAGCACTGTCACAGTTCATGAGAGCAGGTTAGACGTGGGCTTTGGAGTACATTTTATGTGCTTACATTTATAAGATGCTGGCTGGCATCTGGCATTTTTAAAATGTTATTGACCTGTATACTAACAAAACATCTGCTAAGAAAGTGGGACTGTGTTTCAGTTATATCAAGAATTTCTCTGCCAACTGTACAGCGGTATTTCATGCGTGGTGTGGGTTTTGTTGCTGTTGTTGTAAGAGCATCTAGACTGCTTGTGAGTGCACGCAGTACTGCAGTGAGATCCTAAGTTCTCGGTGTTTGTGTTGGAAGGCTGGTCCTTCTCCTCCTCTCAGTGTCATACATTTTCTAGTAGGAGTGGCATTTGTTTGACATACTAGTTGCTTCTACACTGTCTGATTAACCCTGACTGCTCTTGGGAGATCCCTGAGAATTCCAGGAGCCATGCAAAAAATAGCACTTTCTAAACTCAGCTATGAGTTTAGAGCTTCAGCAAAGGCTCTTTATCCCCTCTCCCTCCGACTTGTTTGGCTGCACGATCCCCTTGGCACTCGGAGTGGTCAGCAAAGCAGCCTCCTGTTGGCTCTCCGCTCTGCTTGGTCTTTCAGCCAGACAAAGCCAAGTCAAGTTTGCGTTGTGCAGTGTCTCAGCCGTCGGTCAGTCAGCACGATTTGGGCCTTCTCTGTAGTTACGCCATTATGCTGGCTCGTCTAAACTTGTGTGGGTCTAAGAGTTTAGGGGTTTTTTTAAGCTGAAGTCAAGTGAAAAGGCAAAATGTGTGTCCTGTCTTTTTCCTGGTGCTAAGCAAAAGTTTTTCAGGCAAGCTGACAGTCTTGCCCTTTGCAATGTGCCTGACTCACACTGATTTTAGATGTGGATTTCACCATTTGGGTTCTGTAGCCTACACAACAAATGTGTAAAGTATTGTCAGCTGCAGTGACTGCCATAAGTATTATACCTATTAAAAAAAACCAAAAAGGCACGTGCTTTAATGTCGAGTTTTATAATTGATACTTCATCTTAGCTGCCCAGGTTCACATTTTTCGCTTTGATGTTCACACAATACCAGTAAGCAAAACACATATTATTTTATCTGAATTGATGCAGATAACTCAATTACGATTGGAATACAACTAAGATTCAAGAGACAGTTAAAAAATGGGCTGCCTTACAATCTAAGGATGACTGCCTTGCCTACAGTGAACTACTTTTGCTGGAGTTTCTGTCTGCATTTTCCATAGTAGAGGATGAGCTGAAATAGAAGAGGAGGAATGCTCTGAGTATGTGGGTTTTCTCTTTCCC